TTCCTGTTCGGGGCACTTCGGCGCGCGGGAAAATATGCGGGCCTCGGGGTGACGGCCCGGGGTCGCCCGGGGGTGGAGATCGAATCTCCCTCCCGCGGTCGGGGGCGGGGGAGGGGGGTTGGATTTTCAGGCAAAAGTAAGGCCTGGGCAGGTCAGGAGGAGGCGTCCCCGCCCTCTGGTCCATAAAAGGAGGGGCCGGGATGGTTGGGGACGCGCACCCAAGTCTGGCCCGGCCCAGGAGCCCGGGTCTTCGGGGCGGCCGCGTCACCGGGCGCGGTGAAGGAAAGGGCCAAGGAGAAAAGTTCCGCGTCAGAACCTGGACGAGCCGTTTTCATAAACCGGACAACAACCCTCTCTCCTCCCGGCCAGCGGATCCGCGCAGCTTCAAAGTGGAGTCCGCGCCGCTCGCACCTGTAACCGCCGAACTGCTCCGCCCCCTCCATCCGGGGACCTGCGGCGAGCCCATGGCGGTCACTAACTGAATGAGTCCACTCTAAGTCCATTCACATATTTCTGACAAAGAAAATGGAATAAGTCTACTGCCATGCCACCCTGAACGCGCTCGATCTCGTCCGATCTCGGAAGCTAAGCAGGGTCGGGCCTGGTTAGTACTTGGATGGGAGACCGCCTGGGAAAACCAGGTGCCGTAGGCGTTAAGAAAAAAAAAGAAAAAGAAAAGAAAATGGAATAAATCCATATAATCAATTTTAAAAAGAAAAAAGGAAATATATCAAGTTTAACCGATGTACTGAACTGGCTACAAAAATAATATACTGAATGAAGAATAAATCGTCTACAATCATTTACCATAAAAATATTAAAATAGTTAAAAATATTTCTTAAAATTAGGAAATTGATCATTTTCCAAGGGGGAAAATAAACGCCTGACTTGGATTCAGTTATTGTATCCAAGTTAGAAACCAAAAAGTCGACTTTTATACAAATGCCATAAGGTCTCATTTAATTTGCGGCTCAATATTTTGCTAAGGCAGAGTCAACTAGGTGACTAGCATTCTGAAAAATCCGAAAAACAAGTAATTTTTAGAGATTACTAAAACAATTCCTTCCAATAACAAGAAAATTGCCATGGACCGAATCCAACTCTTTTTAAAAAGTTCGTCGGAAAACGGGTTCCCTTCCAGATCGGCTCTGTCCAAAAGCGGGTGTGGGCGTGGGCCACATGTTTGCTCCGGCCCCGCTGGGCCAGGCGGGGCGGTGAGGGAGGAGAGGGCGGGGCCAGCCGGCGCCTGCGGGGGCTCGGGCCCTAGGTGGCTAGGCGAGATGTCCCCAGGCCCCGCCAGACTCAAAGAGCGAGCAATGGGAACGCGACCCGCGTTCCGCCATAGGGAGGCCGCCTGGTTGGGGCCAGGAAGTGGCTGCGTCTGGAGCTTGTCCTCCCGGCAGGTGATTGGCACCCGCTGGCTGCGGAAAGGCAGCGACAGCAGGAAAGGACAAGCGGCCAATGGGCCTCGTGTTCCTGGCGGCTGCGCCACGACCGCCATCTGGCTGCACCGGGCACCGTCGGGTTTCCAGTCATGCGCCCCGACTCGCGCCGCCTCCGACTGCGCTCCCTGGTCCTACTCCGGGGACCCGGGTCGGGGGCACCAGGAGCCTGGGCCCTCGAGGTTCGCCGCAGCTCTGCGCGACTCGGCGACCTCGGCCACACGGTCCCAGAGCTGCGCTCGGCGCTGCGGTTCGCAGCCCCGGCGCGCGCTGCCCGCGGGGAGAGCAGAGGCCCGAGCGCTCGGCTTGGGCAGAGCGGACGGGGCGGCCGAGGCCCCGCGTGCCCCCCATTCCCACGGCTGCTGACCTGCAAACGTGGTGCCCGGGGGTGTCGAGCGCCCCGAGACTCTCTCACTTTCCTCGCGCGGGGACCCCAACGGTCACCGAACCCTGAGAGCGTGGACTCGGCCGATTCGGCAGACGTCAGAAACCTCGGAGGCCGAGACCCTCCCCAAAGTCGCCGAGCCGCCTTCCTGCTCCGCATGGGCAGTTACCTGGGCAAGCGGGGGTCCCCGGCGCCGTCCCCGGCGGAAGGGCGCACAGATCCGCCCGCGGGGCTGGGGAACCGCCGGCCGGCTCAGCCCCTTCACCAGCTCCACCGGGTTCAGCACGTCCACCGCGCACACCCTGCCCCGCGGCTTGGACCTTCGAGAAGGCCGCGGGACTGGGACCCCGCCAAGCCCACCACGCGGGGCGTCAGCGAGGCCTGGAGGCGCTTCCCCATGAGGAGGCCCCAGAATTCCGTCGTGGGGCCTCTCCCCTCAGACTGGTGGGAGAGTTACTTGAAGCGCAGTGTCTGGTCTCTCCGGCACCCCAGGGCGGTATGGAGCCCAGTGACCATCAAGATCACGCCCCCTGGGCGCAGAGGGCTCCCCTACACGTCCCCGGCACAGTCCTCGCCCTCTGGGAAGCCTCCAGGCAGGTGCGTGAAGGCGACAGTGCTGCGGGCCCTCCGAGACTGCGCAAAGGGGCGAACGGGGCCGCGGGAGCCGCTGCTCCGCGACAGGCCGCGCTGCGAGCGCGGGGCGCCCGGCTCCGGACCCTCTGCGTTTGAGCCTCTGGTCAAGAACGGAGTTCGCGCTTCCTTCGTGCCCAGGCCTGGGCCGCTGAGCAGAAGCTCCGCCTCGCGGAGCTCAGACCGCACACGCACGGGCGGCCCCCTGGGCTCCAAAAGAAATGCCATCACGAGCTCCTACAGCTCTTCTAGAGCTTCCTCCGAGCGTCGTAAGAGAAGCGTTCCCGGTGCATCACTCCAGACTCCAGAGCGGCCAGTAAAAAAGGAAGAGAAAGGTCACCAGTGTCGCTCTCCCATCCCACTGGGATCAGAGGAGTCCCCAGCAGCGTCACGTGACAGCTCTGGGCAGCGCAGTCGGAAGATGCCACAGCTGCTAGCTAGCCCTGGGCCCCTGCTGCCTCTGCCCCCGGCTCCCCAACGTGGTTATGCAGCCTCGGAAGACCACCTGGCCCTGGGGACAAAAGGTGGACTCCTGTGGGGCAACGAAGCCAGAAAGGATACAACAGAGGTCGCTGCAGACTCTGTCCGGGACTCGCGGTCTGCTCTGCCACCTCCCCTGGCTCTCGCTCTGCCTTCTGCAGGCACAGCTCCAGCCCCGGGCCCAGATTCCCAGGGGGAGACTCCAGGTCCCCTGGCCTCCCCACAGTCTACTGCAGAGGGTGTCAGGGTGGCCCTCTCACCCCTGCAGACACCCAGCTTGCTGGCCCCACTTGGCTGCTCACTGTCAGAGTCCCGTCCAGGCCCCGCTTCAGGGGCAAAGTCCCCAGCTACCGTCACCCTTCCGATCCCTGTTTCTCCCGCATCACCAGTCATTGACACCACACAGCCACCTCCGACCTCTCAGGATGACAGGTCTGCCAGGTCCCCACAGCCACCTGTCATAAGCCCTGCACAAAGGTGTTTGTTTGGAAAGGTGAGACCAGCTCGCCATCTTTCTGCATCTGCACCTCCCGCTGCAACTTCTGCTGACCCCACGTCAAAACGTGTTTTCGGGCCCCCGCCCAGGAGCGAGACCGGAAACGCCTTACATTTCAGAAAGGCCACCGCAGCATCGTCACCTCCAGGCAGCTTAGCTCCCACCTTCGAGCCTGTCTTTGGCAGCGTAGGGCCGCTCAACACTATGCCCGTGACAGGTGCTTCCTCCCCCAGGCAGCCCTGCTCTCCGGCTCCCCCTGCTCCTGCCCACACCTCCCACGACCTGGTCAAGGCCACCTCTGTAGTCGTGTCCACTGCCCCAGCCAGCTCATCCAAAGACTCCTCTTGCAAGCCACCTCTGGGTTTTGATGTAGTGAGTGTCACCAGTGCTGTGGACAGCACCCCCTCCCTCCCTTCCACCTGTCACACTTTCCTGCTCGGGGCCGCTCGCGCCTTCAGGGCCAGCTTCTCCACAGCTACAGGTTTCATTTTGCCACCCCACCACCCCGCGGCCATTCCTAGGGTGCACACAGTCGCCATCTTTAGCCAGGCTCTTCCCACTGCTGCCCAGATGACCGCTAGTAGAAGCACTGTCGGTTTTAGGGGTGTGGGCAGCCCTCTGTCAGCCTCTGCCCTCGTGACCACGAACCAGCCCGCACTGTCATCCGGCATCTCCAATCTGACCTCAGCATTCACAATTCCCTTGGGGTCAAACTCAAAGCCACCTTTCCCACCATCCCTGGGAGTCACTTCTCAGCCTGCATTTGGGGCTGCAGGTGGACGAGAGCAAGGTCTCCTCCAACCAGTCCTTGGCCCAAGCTTCAATAGCTCTTTCATTTTTAAAAACTCAAAAGTGGAATCCCCAACCCCATCCCCAACTCCAACCCCAACCCCAATCCCAACCCCAGCTCAGCCAGCCTTCAGCAGCCCCACACAGTCAGCCTTTGGGCTGTTGACACCCTCAGCCTCCACCTTTCACATCCCTGCCAGCACCCCGCCAGACTCTGGAAGCACCCCAGCATTTGGCCAAGCTAGTGCAACTTGTTTTGGACTTGTCACTGAGGCTCACCGGAGTGGGGCTTCGAGCTCAGTGTTTGGCAGCACAGCCCCACGGCCTTTTGCCTTTGGGGGATTAGTGACCCCTATGGACTGTGGGGAGTCTGGGGTCAGCGTGACTGCCCCAGACAGGAGCTCCAACTCTGGAGTGTTCTGCATTGGAGCAATGCCACGTGGGGCCACTCGCACCGTCATGCCTTTTGGAAAAATCTGGAGCCAGAACACCCAAGCCCTGACCAGCCAGAGCACTCCTTTCGCCTTGGGGAGGGCCAGCATTTCTGCAAGAAGGGCTGTGTTTGGGGACCACCACATCGTTCCCTTTGCTCAGAGCACCCCTGTCCCTGGACCAGTTAAGACAGGCAGAAGCCTTGGCTTTGGAGTCCCCTCACTAGCTGCCCAGGGCTCCTTTGAGAGAGGGTCTTTCAGATCACCAGCCCCTTCATTCTCCATTGGTGCAAAACCAAAAACCCCAAAGAGTCGTGAGCAAGGGCACTCCCGAAGGCATCACGCCCACAAGAAGTAGCCAGCACCCCTCAGCGGCGCCCTGGCCTGGACCTCAGCGTTTCTGGGAGGAGCTCCAATCTCTTCCAAGTCCCTAAAGCAAAAACACCCAGATCAATGGCTAGAGCTTTACCTGTTCACCTGTGGGTTCTTATTTACATTCTAGAAAAAAAGTGGAGCACCAGGGTGTTCGGGGGTGATAGCAGAAAGAAATGAGGTGGAACCTCTGTAATTTAACAGAACCTTGCCTTCCCCTCCCGCCCACTCCTCTGCATTGATGTAAACTGGTTCAGGACACTGTCTCCTGGGAACAGACATGCCAGGAAGGCAGCAGATACAGCCCAGGCCCTGTTACGTCTTTGAGAGGAGGTCTAGATTCCAAGAGATTTTATTTGGCTCTTAGAAGTGGTTCCCTTTCCCTGGTCTCTGAAAATGCTGAGTTCTCCTTTTTGCTGCCTGCTTGTTCCTCAGTGGGTTTTTGGAGGAATTTTGATGTAATTTGACCGACTTGTCCTTGAGGACCGATGGTCAACGCTGAGGGGCCCCTGTGTGCTGCTTGCACTGGGCCACTTCCTCCAACCAAGCTGTTTTAATCTTTTACCAAGAGAGATAGTGTTCCAGCCCCACCCTCCTCTCTGCCAATTTAGCCCCTGAGAGACTGGAGAGGGAAGGCTCAGCCTGTCAGACCCAGAGGTCATTCTTCATTCCAGAACAAGGATGCTCTTTGCTGCAGACAGGGGGCCTTTTCTGTTTGCCACATTTTCATTCATCACTCTCCGGTGTGTTTAGAGACTTGTTCTCTTCACTGGGCCTGATGTGATGTGTAACATGTGCTTTCAATTGACTTGTAGGATGTGATGTGTGACATGTGCTTTCAATTGACTTGTAGGCCCTTGTTGACAGAGCCAAACCTATCTGCATAAAGGTTTCTGGGTCCCGGCTAATTGGGGGAGACTATAGCACCACATGTGGCTACACATGTTGAATGCCTGTTTTCTAGTTTTTGACTTCAAGGGATGACTTCTCAGGAAAAGTAGGGCCAGGTGAGGGACAGACAGGTGGTGCAACCTTGCCTTTTCTCTCTACACCATAGGTCATGATCCCACCAGTAGGAGCCAGAAATGCTCAGTTAGGGAACCAAAGCTTGCACCTCATTTTCTTTTTGATTCATACATTCACATCGCTCCTGGTTGAGGTAGACAAGGCAGGACGCCTCTTGGGCCTGGGAACAAAGACGAGCAGGTGCCTAGGCTGACCTCCGTAACCAATGGGAGGCCTGCAGATGAGCCGTTATGCATTCCTTAGCATTTCTTATCATCCGGATGAAAAAAAAAAAAAAAGAGGCAATATGACTTTCTGAGCACATCTATCTCCTGTTTTATGGACACTTTGGAAGGGGCCTGATTGGAAAAGCAAGCCAACTAAAATCGGTTGATAAAATAAAAATAAATTGTCTGAATAAGTCAACAGCATATGAATTACTGTTAAGTTTATATTAGTTTGGAGGCAGAAATATGTTAAAAAAAAAAAAAAAACTTGCCCAAGCTCACCCAGTTAGTAAAGGTGAGATTCAGGATTTAAATCCTAATGGCTCTTTTTTCTCCCTCATAGAGCAAATGCTCATACCCATCTGCTCCAGAAAAATAAATGAGTGATACTACGTCATGTAACTTATTCACATAATCGTGTACACACAATAATATACTAGGCACTCGAGGAAGAAAGCGCACCACTCACAGGCCTGGATATCAGGAGGTGGGGTTAAGGGGACCGTAAGAAGAGTGTGTTTGCCACCCTAGTTTCTGGTCAGGTCATCACCTAGGACACATGTATTATGTACTGCAGTGTCAACATGATAAAAAATGAAAAAATTAAGAGCTAGGCTGGTGGGCGGGAGGGCATAGTCCATTTAAAAGAAGGCACCCAGAAAAGAGCTCTTGAAATACATTATTTTATTTTATATATTATATACACAGATTTTAATTTGTTACTTTCTATTTAATATTATACTAATGCCCATTTTCCCACTACAACAAATACTTTTTGAACATACAATTCTGAAAGTTGCATATATTTCATCAAATGGAGGACATGCAGGGACACAACCTGCACGTCTGTTTGTGTTCATGATAGTGAAGACATCATGCCCACAAGCATCTGCTGCGTTGAACTGAAGACTGCAGTTCATTTATACATTCCAAATGTTTTTTGAATAATGCTGTGATGAATGTGTCTGCATGAAAAACTGTATCTGCATCTACATTTCCAAAGGATTGAAGCTTAGGAGTGGAATCACTGGGTTAATACGGAGAAACACCTTTAGACTCACCAACCAATATTGTAGAACTGTCTGTTTCTCCCTTCGATTTTCTCAATGTTTACTTCATTTATATTTGGGGCTCTGATGTTCGATGCATATATGTTTATAATTGTTATAGCTTCTTGATGAATTAGTTCTTTACCAACACGTAATGTTTTTCTTTGTATCCTGTGTCAGTTTTATAATTTAAAGTTTATTTGGTCTAATATTAATGTGGCCATCCCAGCCCTCTTTTGATTACTATTTTCCTTGAATATCTTTCTCCATCCATTCACTATAGACTTAATCACATCTTTGGACCTAAAGTGAATCTCTTGCAGACAGCACATCATTGGATCATTTAAAAATTTCATTGGACCAAACTCTGCCTTTCGATTGGAGAATTTATCTCATTTAAGGTACCAACAAGGAAGACACAGCTGTGCAGAACCAAAAATGTATGTTTTTGGTTGCTCAACTCAGTAGGCAGAACTCAAGTCCATTCTCAAAGCTCCCGCCAATTGTCTTCTTGATGAACTTGACCATTTCTGGGCATGATACGTCTTTCTTTTCCTTAATAGCAACTCCAGAGTGGCAACCTAGACAGAAAGCGGGTTAAGGGATGCCAAGGTAATTCTAGTTCAGCCACCTGAGTTCTCTTGTTGGATCGACATGGTCTTAGGTGACAAGGGTAATGAACACCTAGGTGAGTAGATTCCTTGCCAAGTCTCCCTACAATGACACTACACATGGGTTTCAAAGTTTTATAAAAATGCACTTGTCACCCTTTCACCATAAAGTAACTCTTCTGAATGAAATGTCTGGGTGTAAGTAAGAGATGATTGGCAAGAAGGTAAAGTTCTAGCTACTGGCATGGGACATACTGGAGGGAACTGGGAAGGGAGCACATTCTACCTGGGGAGACATGAGGAAGGGATATTAATGATCTTTGCCTCTTGAAATCGTCACTTTTGCCTTCCTCATCAATGAAAATACCTTGGGGTGGCTCTCCCAGACTTACAGGTGCCTTAAATTGAACTAATACTGGGTTAGTTGCATCTTTCTGGCCACAATTTGGTCGCCATTCCCCATAAGTTTAACAAGAAGTCTATGGGAAAGAGCCATAGCTCCTGCACTTCCATTATATATTTTTATATTCTTATATTGGGCACTGATGAGGAGAACATAGATTTGTAAAAGTCCTGCAGTTTTCAGATGTTGACAGGTGTCAACATCTCCAGTTATGTCCCCAGCCCAAATTCCCAAGGTTGCCCTTCAGCTATTCTGTGGACCTAAGTCTACGCTTCAGAATCTGCCTCACGCCGCCTGCCAGCAGGCTCTGAGCAGAGCGATTCTGGGGCTCTTAGCGGGCGGCGAGTTGCTGAGACGCTGGCAGGTGCAGAGCTAGGCTCTAAGCCCCCTGCTCATCAGGACAGAACCTAAAACTTGTAATTCAGCTTCGTGGCTCTCAACGTTGGAGCTGTGCTCCTGGCCCTTTCTGAGCTTCCAGCAGGGAAAAAGACTGGTTGTTGACAGCACGGTCGGTTTCTTGTGAACTGCTCCGAGCCTGGCCTTGTAGCCAAAGGTCTGGAGTCCACAAGAGCGTCCGAGCCCTCGCTCAGCTGATTCCTGTTCTACCTGACCTTGAGGGCAGTGGCACTAAGTCCTGCAGTTTTCAAAAGCAATTATCTTTATTTTTGAAGGCGCCAGGACATCGGATAACAGATCATTTAAAGTGACAGGCTCAAGATAGGTCTCCATGCTGAAGAGTTTCCTGGTCGCTGACCTGGAGGCATGTGTTTGAATCTTATGTGTTCTTTCATTTTCTTTCTTCTCACTCTCCCTCCCGTTCTCCTTTCTTCGGTTATTATTTTTCTGTGGTTTCCCTGTTTCCGATACTTTATTTGAAGAATATTTCACACGTGGTAAAATGCAAAGATCTGAAGGTAGACAGAGAGTAATGAAATTTACACATCCCACGTGACCACCGCCCAGACCAAGATTGAGAACATTCTCAATTGAGAACATGCTCCCTTACCAGTCAGTACGGCACTGTGCAAGCTAATCGCTGTCGTGATGTCTTCATCAGATAGTTTTGCTTGCTCTTGATCATCGTATAAGTGGAATCATGTAATATATCCTATTGTGTGGCATTTTTTGCCCAGCGTGATGTTTTCGAGATTTACTTGGGTTATGACATGTACGAAAATTCAGAGAAATTTATTATTATCGCTAAGCAAGGTTCCGTTTTCTAAGCAGACCACAACTTATCTATACAGGGAAATATGAAGCAGCTGACAATGTACATACAAAAGAAAAACAAGAGACATAAGCTGCTAGCTAGCAGAGTGGCGCAGCGGGAGCGTGCTGGGCCCATAACCCAGAGGTCGATGGATCGAAACCATCCTCTGCTAGGGTTATTTATGCAACATTGCAAGCAACCCTTTTTCCTCTTACATCTCCAGCGGAAGACACCGCGAAGAAACTCGATTTGCACGAGTCCTCTTGTTTCCCACCCTCACCAAACTCCAGGGGCACACGGGAGAAGCTACGATGCTACCGGAGGCTGCTGTCACTGGCGCCCAGCCTGAGGCCCCTCAGCAGGAGGTACAGGGGTGGGCGAGGTCAGCAGTCTCCCGGAGCTCAGGCTTCTTTTGGCTGGTCTAATGGTTAAATCCCCATGAGAAAGATTAACGAGAAAATATCCAAATTTAATACATATGTAGTTAAGAGAACCCTGCTTACACGAGTCAGAGACCTCACATAGATGACAGGCTCACAGACAGAGAGGAAAAATGAGGTATCCTGACATAGATGGGGACAGAAATAAGAACGATGAAACTGCTGACTCCAACAGATTCATGTAATTTGTGATGACATAATGCGCTTTGCTTTAAATTTCTACAGTTAAAATAATAAGCAAATTTAACCTTTAGACTATTCATATATCATAAAAAGAATGTCTTGTCTTTAAAGCATTTTTTCATCTGTGTATGTGTTTTTATTGGTGTTCTTGTGACTTCTTTACTAATGTTTACGGTCTGTTAATCTGCCACGCATCTAACTTCATTATATATTTTTATATTCTTATATTGGGCACTGATGAGGAGAACATAGATTTGTAATAAGTACTCCATAGTATATTTAATTAACTGTCATAAAATAAAGTACATTTATTTAGTTTGGAAATGCATTTATTTGTAAGAATCACACTTTTTCTCTTACTGTTAAAAGAACGATAACTCATTAAGAGGGAGAACCATGGCAAAATTGTGTGATAAATCATTCAACAGATAAAAGCATGCAAAAGCAGGCAATACAAGCAAAAAAGGCAAAAATTCAATACAAGAACACACATTCTAAAAATCATATTTGACATAGAATGTTGAAATCTTAGGAGCTGATTTGTTAACCAAATAAATTTAAAACAGAGATTTTATCTTTAGACAATTTATTCTAGTTTCCAAAGTAGAAAAAATAGACACCTCGAAATGTAAAACTGCTTTAAGAGAAGAACCTTGGATGTTGACAGAGGTGGTGTGATAATGATCTTAACAGCATAAACTTGGAAGTCAGACGCAAAATCTTTTAATCCCAAACTTGCCATCTTTAGCCTAAACGGCCTTAGACAAATTAATTACCTCTTTGTGTTCAGGATTCCTCATTTCTATAAAACAATCTTCTCTGATGGGGCACGCCTACCACTATTCTTCCCATCTTCTATGTTGACATCAGATGCCTGCGTTTCCTGTCCAGAATTCTTTGCACTGCCCTAAGTATTTTCTGAGAGCGAGCATGGTAACAGAACTTGGAAAGTGGAAAGGCTCTGCTATCTATCAAACACCTTCCCATGGAACATGTAATCTGCTTAGTCGAGTGGTATAGATGTCACTCTGATGAGTCTGAAAACCACATTTAAAGACATCAACCTGTGCAATTTTCCTTAAAGAAGCCTGCTGTTAATGCCATCGGTAATGTTAATTCTCCTCAATGAGAGAATTCAATCCCTCTTTCTCTTTGGAATTACATATTTCCACAGTTTCTGCCAGTGATGTGTCCCAGCATAGACAATTATCTACTCATTATGAACCTCAGTTCTTCACCTCAAAGTTGGGGTAACATTCACCCATAGGACCATGGTAAATGTTCACATATTTGTTCAAACTTTACTGTGTGTAGTAGGCACCGTGATAGACAGGATTTCGTGGATGAATAAAACCAGGCACTGCATCCACCCTTTTGGAAATTGTATTTTGGTGAGAAAGACAGAGCAATCAAGCTATCATGGGAATTAACATAAAATTTGCAATAAAAGAGGTATATAGTGCTGAAAGAAATATGAAGATTTATTTAGAAAGTTTTAAGGAAGTTCTTTTGGAAAATGTAAAGATTGACAAAATGTCAATTAGGTATAGAAGAGTATTTAAGGTAGAAAAATAACATGTGCACAAATCCAGGGCAGATAAGAGGGACTGAGAGAAAAGGGCAGTAAGGTATGAAATGAGGCTGAAGACGTAACTGGCCATGGCGAGGACTTCAGGCCATAATCTTAAGGGTTACAGAATAAAAGAGCCATGAAATGTGTAGGTGAGAGTCAACTCTTTTATAAAAACCAGTTTCTGCCTTTTATCCTTTTGTCCTCTCAAAATACACAGAATTTGAGATCCGAATAACCTAATCTAAGGGGGGCGGGGGGAGGGAAAGCTGAATTTCCACCAAATGATTTGAGAAAACTCACTCCTGTGAGTTCCCTTAGTCCACCAGGGACGAAAACGGTGGTCTCGGATGGAAGCCCCGCAGATTTGGCTCCCGCAACTGGAATCCCAGCTCTCTGCAGCCCGCATCGCTCCTGCTGTGTGCTCTGCAAACGCAGCCGCACCAGCAGTTAAGATGAATTATTTCCCTGGGGTGGTAGAGCCCGTTTTCCGGCCTTTATTCAATCGAATAGAAATAATACATTCCACAGTTCATGCTTTTTTAAAAATAAAAAATTTGTGAACGAAACACACACACCACCGACTTAAAATGCCATTAAACCGTTTTCCCCATCCTCTCTCACTTCTGAGAAATCCTCCACTCAGCCCCGCGAACCCGGAGCGCGCTGTCCGTGGTGCTGACTCCGGGGACAGGCGCACTCCCTGTAGCAACCCCGTGATCACCGCCTGACTGCTGGGGCGCGTGCACTTGGAGCAGAGGGGGACACCAGTCTCCTCAAATGTCCGAGGAGAACAGCTGGCTGTCTAGACAGCCTGTCTGCGAGGCCTAAATGCCGGATTCCATGTGCGTCTGTCCCACAGATCTGTCTTAATTACACACCCGAGTAAACCTACCCACACCCATTGTTCTGTGGGCGCTCTGTGCTAAATGCAACTGTTTGTGCTAAATGCAACTAACTGTTCTGGACACCCACTCGACTGGATCGCGCGTCGTGGGCCACACTCGCTTGCACTATTGGTATTTCTCTTGGTAACACCTTCAGGTTTTCATGCTGGCCCTGGACAAAACAAGGCCTGATCAACAACAAACACAAAATATTTTCAAGTCGTGCACAGCCGGGGCCTGAATGAAAAGTCTCATTATTTTAATTCCACAGTAGTTATAATGTTAAAGATGTGGAGTTGCAGAAACAACACCCACTTCAGCAAGTTTAAGCAGTATGAGTGGAGAAACGTAATTCAAGGAAACTCCAAGTGCTGGATCTTAGAAACCGGAAGACTCCAATTTTCATTTACTAAGATGTGTGGTTCCCACAGAGTCAGAGTTTATGGAGGGTTAGAGCAAAGATTCTTCTGTGGTTTTTGAGGGGAAAGATGGCTCATGACAGGTTTGTAAAGACTAAAAGAGACAGATAAAGAAGGACAAAGATCGAGTGACAGGATGAGAACTAGAGGCAGTGAAGACGAACACAGCAGACAGAGACAGGGAGAGCCCAGGGAGACGGAGACGAGAAGCCAGGGAAGGAGGGCAGGGAACATGCAAGAGGAGGTAAAGGCAGAGTCAAGGCGAGAGGCTGAGGACAGGGGGCACGGCGAGGGAAAGGGTGAGAAGCAGATGAGTCAGGGTCTGGGGTCCAGAGACACGCAGAAAGTGCCCAGCCCGAGAGCTGAGCAGAATCTGAACTGGACTCTGATGAGCAGGGGAGGGCACCAGCATAAAGAGTAACTTTTCTTTGACCTTTGATATTAAAATACAAGAATTCACAATGAGAACCACCATCCACCTATGTTTATGGAACTGTCTGGAGCTGAGTGCTTTCAGTTGGGAGTGAGGATGTCTGCAGTCACGAGTCAGTTATATGTAGAGCAGGCACTGAATCCCAGTTCCCGGCACGTTCTCCCGTCCAGAGAATGGGGACGTTCAAGACTGAGGCGGCCATACAGGGAGTGGCTCAGAGACCAGCCCTGACCCGTGTCTCCAGCCTGAGCCAGGTCTGCAGCTGCTGGAAGATGCTCTGTGGAGAGGTGGGGAGGATTTTGAAAGTCAGACCCCAGCACTAGAAGAGGACAGGAACATGCAAATTAGCATGCAAATGACAATGCAAATCACCCAGAGCCTTTTCACTCTTACCTGGCGCCCTAGGCGGAGGCTGGGGGAGTCTGAGGGCCTCTCAGGTGCCATGTCCAAGCAGTGAGAGGCACTAGGGATGAGAAGGGCTGAAACTGAGGGTCCCAAAGCCTGTGTTACACTTAGCACATGCCAGGGGTCTGCGTCCCCTGGAAAGAAAGGAGAGAATGGTGTGCTGAACTGGGGCGAGGTGCAGACATAAATGTCAGGTCCTGACAGCACGCTCACCATTAACAAACAGCACTTGGGTGGCCCCTGGGGTCTGGCCACCATAGTAGGAGTTCGTCTGGGCAACAGCCTGGGCTACGGATGAGGTCGAGAGTCCAAACACCTGCTCACACAGCTCTAGCTGGGAGGGCAGTGCTGGGAGCTGGGAGAAAGGACATCCAGGGTCCTCGCAGGTGACATCTGTGGAAGGAGACATCTGTCAATGTGGGGTGTAAATGCAACTCCACTCTCCTTTCACAATCATTTACAGCAATTTGGTAAATTACACCTTCGCAAGCAGAATTACAACGCGTATCTTTTCCTTCCCACCTGATCCCTCCGGAATTTCAGGTACTCTTAACTAATCCACGTGTAACTAAATTTAAAGATGTTGACTGTCAGATTCATTTTCATTCTAAAGAGAGCTCTTGCACCTAACTAGACTGCTCAACCAACAGAGGATTTGAAATTAAAATTACTAAGAAGTGAAGCAGATGACAACTAACAGAAGATTCTGGACGAGGTCTATATAATCTACACCTTCATATTTCCTTTTTCCCCTCTTACATTACTTCCTATCTGTCTCACACACACACACACACACAAAAATGAGAGGCCAAACACTCACCATAATAGTTAATATTTGTTCCTCCCTTATTTCTGACTGGGAAGATAACTCAACTTTGGGCATCATCTTTAAACCCACTTCACAGGTCAAAATGTACAACAAGCTATACACATAGTCAATGTTGTTCGGGGCCTGGTAATGTCAGCCCCAGCAAAGGTACCAAATTTGAAAGAATACTTTTTCCTTGGGCAGGTATTACAATGACAGTCGTCACCGCTACGGCAATAGTCAACCAGGTAAAAGATTTAAATTTTTTCATGTGTGATATTTTAGACGATAGAATTACTCTTGACCATATCCTAGATGAACAAGGTGGGGTTTGCTCTGTTGTTAATACCTTTTGTTGCACAGAGGTGTTTGATAAAACACCTCTGGTAAATTAAAAGTGAAACTACATAAAATGTGGACCCAAACCAAATGACTGCATACAGTGGCTACTGACATCTCATGGTTCTCTAATTAATCGTCAGCTAATGGCCCTCAGTTATTGCCTCCTGGTCCAGATCTATTCTCCAAATTAGACTTAACATGTTGTTTGTTATTATAGACGTTTTTGCTGTCATAAATCTTTGTTTTGTACGGCTTGATGTTATAAGCACACCACTCTGATAATGGTGGCTCAGCATTTTGAGATGATCACTAAGGCCTATGAGACTTCATATGACAGACTTCCAGAAACGACAGATGTTTGCCCTTAACGAAACGTGACAGTAAAGTCATCCTCTGTGCGGGCATGCTCGTTGCTCGAAGGTGGCCCCAGGCTCCTAAGAAACCACTTTCCCTCCTATGCGGGAGATGACACACCCGGAAGGAGCCTTCCTGGCAATGAGAGATTGGCAATGACACATCCAAAACGAGCCAGTTGACAATGAAGAACCAACGGCACTTTAATAACCGATCAGTGCTGCTTTCCAATAGTTAATGGTGATGTGTTTGAGGAAGGTCTCAAACACGCACACACACAGAGCCGCTTTGAAATGGAGCCGTAGCTGCCATCCTAGAGGACTCGCCTTGCATATCTTATGCCTCAAACCTTTGAAATGTTAAAACAGGACAAAATAACCTTTGGGCTGGGGCTAAAGCAACGTTGTGCCCCAAAGAACTGTTTGTAAGGATAACAAGAAGGCAGCTATTATGACTGATGGGTAGCGGACTGAAAATTAAAAACACCCTTTAGAATGCACATCAGTATGTTAGATGATCTGCACCAACAGAAATGCCTTCCTTCGACGGAAGTAATTGCTTCCCTTCCCCACAAAGGATATTGTCTGTCTCCTAATCGGAACCCAGCGTGGGCTTCTGCCTGAGTCAGTGCTTCCTGAACAGCTGTTCTTACTCATCTGAAATAAATGTTGCCTCTGCTTTGAAAGGCCTTTTTAACTTCAGATTATCAGGGGTGAGGATTGGGCCAGTTACTTACAGAAGCCGAACTCAGTACACGTCTGGTACAACCACTGCCGGTCACCCACGCTGGACACTTGGGGTTCTGTGACCCTCAGCTGGGCCACTGTCTCCGCTCGGGAAAAGCTTAAACATTTCTGGCCCAGGCTGTGTAGGACAACCTAGGGGACAATATACATACAGACATTCATACATTCATGCATTCCTCCCTGCCCTCTAGTAAGCCAGGGCCTGGAGGCATAGGTCCCTACAAGTCAAAGGTCAGAAGTCATAAGAGGGTGTTCCCGAGTTCTCCTGGGAGTCAGGGTGGAGGGGGGTGCGGTTCCCCGGTCCGGGTGGGTTAGAGGTTAAGGTACTAGATGATGGGACCTTATTACCTGGGGCAAGTGATAATATCTTGGACCTCAGTTTCCCCATCTGTAAGTGGGGATAATAATACTGGCGACCTCCTAAAACTAATATGAGGATTCAGTGAAATAATCTATAGGAAGCACTTGGCACAGCACTTGGTGCAGACAGCGCTGCAAACGTGACAGCTGTGGATTCTGAGGATGGGCCCCGGTCTCCAGGAGAGCTCCGTGCACAGGGCGACCTGCATTCTTTCACTCGTTCTGCAGATGCTACTTGAGCGCCTGCTGCGTGCCAGACACTGCGGCAGACCCCGGGCAGAGGTCGGAACAAGACAGGCAAAATAGCGTAATTTCTAAAGCTGCGTGGTGCGTGCCAGGCCCCTGCTGAGCCGTCACATGGGGCGTGTGACACCTCCCCGCGGGCCCTGTGCGGTGTCATCCTCGTGGGACAGAGGAGGAAACGAAGGCTCGGGAGGAGTTTAGCCCACCCAGGGTCGCGCAGCAGAGGTCCGCCGACCCGCGCCTGGCGCGGGGGAGCTCACCTGCACGGCCTGACGCAGCCCGCGGTAGGGCGCCGGGCGGCTGCGGTTGCCCCCCGCCTGGAGGAGTCCGCAGAGCTGCCGCACGCTCAGCGGCGCCCCCGCCTGCCCGTCGTACTGCACTGCGCCTCCCACCAGAGCCTGCAGCGCCCCCAGCAGCTCCGCCCGGTCCTCCTCACGGTCCAAGGACGCGCATGCGCCCAGCTCCGCCCTCAGCGCCGCCCGGGCCGCCTCGCCCGCGCGCAGTCGCCGGGCCACCTCCGCGAAGGCTGAGGATGCCGCCGCTCGGCACTGTGGACAGACGCAGTGTCGGCGGGACCCGGGCCTGGACCTGGTCTACCCTTCTAGAACGTCCGTCAGCCTGGGCTCCGCACTTCCCCCGGCCGCCCTCGGTGGTCGAATCCTGTTCCACAGAAGCCTTGCCCTTATCGGCTCCTCCTCTGGGTCGTCCTCGGGCCCCGCCCCACACTGAGCCTCACCTCCTGATAGGGGCGTTCCCTCTCAGGCTCCGCCCCACATAGCTTCACCTCCTGATAGGGGCGTTCCGTCTCAGGCCCCGCCCCACACAGCCTCACCTCCTGATAGGGGCGTGCCCTCTCAGGCCCCGCCCCACACAGCCTCACTTCCTGATAGGGTCGTTCACTCTCAGGCCCCGCGCCACACTGAGCCTCCCTACCCCTCCCTAGAGAGTAGTCTTTCCTCAGGCCCCGCCCCTCCTCGGCCCCGCCCCCGTGGGGCTCCTCATTTTGGACGCACAGACGCCTTCTCAGCTCCAGCCTTTTTCTAGGATCTGTCCACCTTTCGAGGCTCCCACCGCTCCAGACCCCGCCACCATACAGGTACTCTCAGGCCCCGCCCCACACTGAGCCTCCCTACCCCTCCCTAGAGAGTAGTCTTTCCTCAGGCCCTGCCCCTCCTCGGCCCCGCCCCCGTGGGGCTCCTCACTTTGGACGCACAGACGCCTTCTCAGCTCCAGCCTTTTTCTAGGATCTGTCCACCTTTCGAGGCTCCCACCTCTCCAGACCCCGCCACCATACAGGTTGTTCCTTTTCCTCTGGCCCCAACTTGAAGGCCTCCTCTCTTCCCCACCCCCGTTGAACTGGCCCCATTTCTACCTCCGGAGACCCGCCGATCGCCGTGCTCGTGAGGCTCCTGGACACCACCTGTGGTCGGACCGCGGGAGAAGAGGCGCATCAGGGACTCCGACCGCTGAGATTCCGCTCCTCCCGGACCCCGCCCTCCTTCTCACCTCGTTGTACGCGGAGAAATCCAACACGGCCCGCACTGGGGCAGAGGAGGCGACCGCGGCGAAGACGAGATGCGGAAACTGGGGGGGAGAAGTCGCCAGCTGGGACCCCTGGTCTTCCGCCCTCTGCCACTCACTCCTAGGCCAGTCCCTCCCTCTGTATACTGGATCCCCGTGAAGACAAATGTGGAAAGCCCTTCCGGGGGCAGAGTGTGGGGAGAAGGTGTTCCTATCACCTGAGATGGGGACCCCGAGTCCAAGCCCCCGCCCCCCGCCCGCCCAAAGGAGTCCCGGGACCTTCAGCCGGGCCCAGGCAGCCAGGGAACCGGCATAGGAGCCTCCGAAGCAGACCCAGGGGCTGGAGGAGGAGACGTTGAGAAGGCGGGAGAGCGCCAGGCGGGCGGAGACCACGTCGGCCAGCCTGGGGTCAAGGGGAGGTTGGTCAGTCATCGCTGGCATCCCTGAAGATCCCCTCCCTGTGCCTGCCGAGTGTGGCCAGTAGCCAGCGCCCTTTCGTCAGGACGCGTTCCTGAGGACTTCTCCGCATCCTTTTCCGCGTGTGTGCCTCCACCTTCCTTCCCTTCCAGAGCCGGTGGGAGAGGAAAAATCCCCAGGCAGTTTAGGCAGAATTCTGACTAATATGGGAGAGGTTGGGGACCGTCAAGAAGAGCTACTGGGGAGAGGAGAAGAGGAGGTGTCCTAGGCTGGCGAGGTTAGACTGGGGCGAGGGGGAGACAGTTAGAGAGAAAAGAGACGCTGGGCCATGTCTAACAAACTCTTTTCTACCCAAAGTGCTTTCTTTCTCCCTCGGCCTTTCTGAAACGGTTCGCAGTCAGCGCCATCCTCCCGCACTTAGAAAGCTGTTTGGCTCGTGAAGGACTGAGAGACAGAGTGACAGAGGCGAAGAGATACAGATGGAGACACAGACAATGGAGACCGGAGGGGCACAGAGGCAGGCACAGGAAGGGTTGCAGACAGACGCAGAGAGACACCAAGCAGGAGAGAGGACAGAGAGACAGGTCCTGAGGAGAACAACAGAGCGAGTGAGGGGGAGGGAGGAGGGGGGTCGTCAACAGGAGTAGGGGACGGAGCCGTGCAAATGTCCGACGGAGGGTACAGAGACTCAAGGCAGCGGTGAACCTCTCGGGCTGGAGGATGGCGAGGACGTCAGAGCTGCAGGAGCCCAGCGAGTGTGAGGGAGCGGAGGTCGACGAGGTGACCGGGAGCCAGGGCTGGTCGGGCCTTGAAGCCACTGTAAACCTCTGGCTTTGCTCTGAGTGAGATGAGAGACATCTGAGGGATTCGAGGGAGGGAGAGTGGTGATCTGGTTTGTGCTCCAACGATTACGCTGGCTTCGTCTGGAAATTAGACGGAAGGGGTCCAGGGCAGAAACGGAGACCAGTGAGGAGGCTGTGTCCTTCAGGCAAGAGACCTGGTGGTCTGGACCAGAAGCCATAGTGAGAAAGAACAGAATGCGGCGTAGAGAAAAGAAAGAGACAGGGAGGGACAGAGATCCAGAGATGGAGAGAGAAAGACAGAAAACAAAACAAAACAAAAAACAGCAACAAGAAAACGTGAGCCAGAGACTCGAGGTCTACTCTGAGCAGTGATGGAGAGAAACACAGACATCTCTAATCCCATGACCCCCAGCACCTTCCCTACCCCCACTCACGCGTGGCGGCTGGACAGGAAGCGGAGGTGAGCCATGTCCAGGCCCCCAGCAGGTATACTCAGGCCATAAAATCTGTGTTCCAGGCCTATCACCAGGGCGCCCCAGGCTGGGGCCAGGGCTGCCGGGTGCCCTGTGAAGAGCGTGGGGAGGGCGTGAGGTCTCGCAGCCCTCAGGTCTCACGGCAGCACAGCACACAGCTCCCCTTCCCAGCACGACCGGCTCCCCAGCTGTCTCTCTTACCCTTGTCTCTCACCTCTCATCACTGCGCCTGGCCCAAGGCTGCCCTCGCCCCCCAGATGCAGGAACACAGGTCCGTCGCGGCTGGCCCAGTGCTGCTCGTTTACCCAGTACCTCTGAGAGATGGGATGAGGAAGAAACGGGCTAAGAGTTCCGGCCTTTCTTCCCTGCTGGCTCCAGTCTCGCCCTAACGGGTCTTTCTGTACAGACTCAGCCGGGTCTAAAACAGGCTCGTTTACCTATGTGTTCATTTCTCTCCTGTTTCTCTCCTCGCCTAGAATGTAAGATCTACAAGAGCAGATATTTTTGTCAATTTTTTCTCCCTTATATCCCCAGAGTCAAAGATAGTGGCGAGCACACTGTAGGCACTCGCTATATATTGAGATGATAATTGTAGACTATGTAACAAATGCAGGTGGATTTAGGAGTAGGGCCTAGGTGACATGACCTCTGAAGACAGTACAGAGTAGGTGTAAAAAATAGTGAATTTATTCATCTATTCAACAGATATCTCCAGTGCTGGTTGTGAGCCAGCGGTGGTTCCGAAGCCGGTCCAGATCTCTGCTGGACATGGAGACATGGTGGGGGGTTCAGGGTTTAATCTCAAGGACGGGGAGAAGGGGGTCTGAGGGACAGAGAGAGAGAGAGAGAGAGAGAGAGAGGATGACAGGAGGAAAGACTAAAGGTCAGAACCTTAGGGACAAAAAATGTGGGCGACTGAGGAAAGAGGTAGGGGGAGTAGGGGATTGAAAGCAAGTCTGAGAGGTGCGGGGTGGGGCTGGGCTGAAGGCCACAGAGATCCTGACGGCAGCGCAGGGTGAGACCCTAGGAGCGCGGTGCGGGTGGGGCGGGAGGGGCGGGGACGGAGCTGTAGAGACGCGAAAGGCCCAGAAGCAGGAGATGACAGGCCAAGGCGGGCCGCAGACTCGGCTCCCCAGGCCTCACCTGCAGGAAGGACCGCCTGTCGGATGCGTTGAAGGGGTCCAGGGCCTGCTCCAGCCACCCCTCGGCTGGGAGGGCCGCCGCCCCGGGGCCCGGCCCCAGGCCCGGGCTGGAGCGCTCCCGCTGCCGCTGCACGTGCTGCCCCAGGCGCCGAAGAAGACAAGCTGCGGGAGGCAGGGGCGGGGTCAGGCCGGGCCGGGCGGCTCCCCCTGGCCCGCGGGCTCCTCTTACCTGGAGCTGAGGCTCCCCAGAGGGAGACCAGGAGCAGAGGGCCCAGCCCCAGCGCGGGCCCCGCGGCCATGCCGGCCAGCCCTCTGCGCTGGGCGCCGGCCGTGTCCTCCGCGTGGCCGGGCTGGACTCGGGTTTATAGCCTTTCCTGGGGAGCTCGGGTGTCTTCCTGACGCCTGGCCCGCGGCAGACCGCGCGTCTGCGGCAGCCGCCGAAGCGAGCAGGGACGCCGGCGTCGTGCGCAGAGGCGTCTCCTCTGCCGGGGTCTCGACCCGCTTCCTCTGTGCCTCCGACCCCATTTCTCTCTCCTCCCCCCTTCGGGTTCTCTGTCCCCTGGGCTCGTCCCATCCATCTTCCTGTCCCCCCTCTTTCTGCTCCTGCTCACCCCCGGCCCCTCTGACCCGCGACCTGGCCGCTCTCCGCAGGTCCCGCGTGGCGTTTTGGACGCCGAGGCTCCCCGCGCTCAGGGCTCGGCCCCGGGTCCCCACCGCGTCCCACGAATCCTCGCCACGGTCTGATCCCTAGTCAGCTGGGAGGAAGGAAAGGTCTTCCCGGGCCGGCTTTTCAAAAATCCCCAAATCCGTAGCCCTCCTTTATTCCTATTCTTTTTCACGGCAACCGAGGACAGAAATGTTTTTATTTGTCCAGACGGTTTCGGCGTCTGTGTCCCACAGCGGGTCATGAGCTCCCAGGACCAGGGCTCCCATCTTTCCCGTCTATCGCCGAGCGTCTGGCCGCTACGACTGTGCCCTAGGGACGCAACTCGACTCCAGGGGACTCCCTGTCTGCATCTTTCTGGCGTCTGAGTGGCCTGAAGAGGCATCAGGACCCAAAGGAAGGGCCCTAGAGGGACTCGGCAGCCCCTGAAGGGCAGTGTTCGTCTGGGGAGACTGAGGCTGAGGCGGGACAGGTGTGTCCAGGCGGTGCGAGGTGGAGGTGGCGGGGGACGGGCGGGTGTCCAGTGCGGCTAGGGCAGGTCGCACGCCCTCCAGTCTGGGTCATTCACATTCACACATGTCCACACACATTTCATTGTCGACTAATGTTTCTGGTGTGATATTTGACTTTTTTTCGTTGTCTACGTTTCGACTGACGGGCCTCACTGTCCTTTCTGCTCTACATGTTTACCCAGAGTAGCTAGAGGTAAGCTATAAATTCTGATTTTCGGCAGAAAAAATTTCCATGGCAGGGCAGACCCCCACAAAGCTGCTCAACGGCAAGACTTTCTCCCAAAATCAGAAACGATTTGCGATGTCATCGAAGCCTTGTCACACCAAGGAGGATAAGCTCGTTGTCCACCGCCGTTTCCTTTGCCGCGTTAGTGTGGATGATTAAATCCGGCTACTTCCTAGTGATTCTGAGAAGATTTTACTTATATCTCTCTCTCCACTGACTACACGGGTCTCAATTCAAAAGAGTTTGAATCCCGATTCCCAGAGGCATAGACGGGACTTGCTTCCACGTCCCCTGGCGACCATGATGAACTGACTTCAACGCTGGGCAATTAGCACCCGCCCTCAGGACTGCGGGTCCACAAAGTGGCGGGTGTCTGCTCGTCCCAGTTTCCAGAGAGTGCGTTCCAGTGGACTCACGCCCCAGTGACCAAACCGGGGTCATCTGACTCCTGGGGACAAAGGAACACCTCGCGAGAAGTTACGCCCGCCGCCTGCGCGCCAGCGGGGTGCGGGACGGATGGGGACGCGCAGGAGAGAGAAGCAGCTGCTAATCCTACAAAACCCTAAGCGAGGCAGCCGGCGTTTTCGGGGGCTCTCAGAGAAGGGGGGCCCCGGTCCTTAGGAGCCGCCGGCGGGGGCGAGAGATGTTTCCTTTCGCTCCCAACAAACACTTCTTAATTTTTTTAAGTAAAAAGAAGAGGCTCGCCAGGCGGCCGGTTAGCTCAGTTGGTTAGAGCGTGGTGCTAATAACGCCAAGGTCGCGGGTTCGATCCCCGTACGGGCCACGGGTAGTTGTCTTTTGAGGAAATTTTGCTGCAGTGTCCCCACACATAGGAAATAGCCTCTCTGATGTAAAATTGGGTTTAATCTTTTATTTCATTTCAAAGAAGGAAGAAAAGAAAAAGAAAAGACTACTTGTGGAAAAAGTGGCATAAAGCCTTCAAATAGAAATTTTAGTAAAGAGAATGAGGGTACGAAAGTGGCGGTGGCGTCGGAGGTGAGATGTGTGTCTGGTGGCCGCTGACCATCTCGCCCTTTCCTTGTCGGAGTCTCAGAAGCTGGAATTTTGTTCGCGAATCTAATACACCAATATAAAGGAAGCAAGACCCAGCAAAGTCACCATTTATGACAAAACCATGTGCTTATAAAGGCCACACAACTATAGAATACGCGAGAATTTCATAAGTGAAAAATTAGTGACAAATACAATCCAAACAAAAAAGGAAATTTAGGCTTTTAAAACTTGACTACGGAGAATTTTCAACGGGTGACAAAACCGAAGCCAAAGTTCATTTAAGGAGAGAATGATGTTTTTTCTCATTCCAGGAGAGATCCTCAGTCTTTGTGCAGCGGGCATCACCGAAGAGCCGTCTTTCCAGGGCGGGTTGGGCTCTTTCTTTTTTTTCTTTAAACACCTACGACACCCGGTCTTCCCAGGCGGTCTCCCACCCAAGTACTGGCGTGGCCGTAGACTTGGGCTCTCTTTCTTTTGACCATCGGGGTGCAGGGTTCTGAAAGGTCTTCCTTGGTGCGTTAGGGTCAAATGCCCCACAGGCTTATTAATTTCAGTCTTCTAGGAAATAGCAGTTCTAATTAATTCTAATCTGCTAAAACCTTACTGGGAAAGTTGCAAACGTCACCGGGATGGCCGAGTGGTTAAGGCGTTGGACTTAAGATCCAATGGGCGCATGTCCACGTGGGTTCGAACCCCACTCCCGGTAGGTCGTCGTAACAATGTGTTTTACCTGAAAACAAAATTTCCCTGCACAAAGTGAAGCAACTAGTCCGGCATACAGTTGGGTTTTGGTTTCCTTTTTTCCAAGCTGACAAACTGTAATTTCTGGCTTTAGGTAATTTACATATAACGTAATTACTGACATTCGTCTTAAAAATCTACTACCTCGTTGTTTTCTTTGTGTTCCTTCTGTTCTTTGTTCCTTTCTTTTATCTCTTTCTGTCTTTGAAATGTGAGCCTTTTTCTTGATTTAATTTTATCTCTACTATTGCCTTATCATTTATACATTTTAAAAAACAATCTTTAGTGCTTTCCCTCAGGTTTCCTATTTACCTCTACAATTAACCAGTCTGCCTTCAAATATTACGCTGCTTCCTGTGTTGTGTGAGCAGCTTGCAAGAGTATGTATATTCCCTCCTATATTTTATGTTATTGTTGTCATACATTTTGCTTCTGTGTACTCTAATGCCACTACTACTTTTGCTTTATGCAATCAATTATTTGTAGAGTGATTAACATTGGGGAAAATTCCTCATCTGTATCTACATTGTAAGCATTTCTTTCTCTTCACCTTCTGGAATTCCACTGACAAATATATTAGACAATTTGACATTAACCCATAATTCTTCAACGCTTTTTTTTTTTCATCACCCTACCCCCTTTTTTGTTTCGGTGTTTCGGCTTGGGTAGCTTCTAAGGACCCACTTTCAAGTTCATTGCTTCTTTCCGGAGCTCCACAGAGTCTAAAAGCCTATGTCAGGTATTGTTCATCTCTGTTATAACGTGTATGTGTTTTTAATTTTTAGCATATCCATTTGACTTTAAGTTTCCAACAATATACTGAATTTTCTCAGCTGTTTAATGTATGTGGATCATCTTTTCCACTAGCGCCTTTAACGTAATGATTGTGGATATTTTATATTCCTTTTGGGGTAGTTCCAACACGCGGGACAGATCTGAATCTCACTGTTGATTGCTTTTTTTCTCTTAACAGTGCATTGTTTCTTGTCTCGTCATTTTCCATTAGGTGCCAGACTTAATGTATAGGACTGTAGAGGGTGAAGTAAATAGTATTTACACCTGAAAATGGGCATGTCCATTTTCCTAGACTATTAATGTATGAGGTTGAGTCAATTTAAGCAGGGGTTGAGATATTTTTTGTTTTATTGTAATTTTCTTCAGCGCGTAACCGGCTTCACACTCCTCCAGCATTACTTTAGGTTTAGGGTGGGGTCTGATTTGTTGGTGTGCTTTTGCGATGATTTTGCTCTACCCTTGGCATTAGGCCTTGTCTGTACTTGTTTCAGACAGGGCATCTCTCCATGGTCTCTCGTCTCTCCCCTAGGGGTTAAATGCCAACTTATTGTAGGTGTGGTGGATATTCCCATGGTGATAAGTGAAAACAAGAGAACCAAGGAGGTAACAAACACTAGAGTGTAATGCCTGAGACGGATGAACTCCTACCACTTGTTGCACAGGACAAATAAATAGCGAGGCCAAGTACCAAATCCTACACTACTTTCAGCTTGTTCCGATGCCTGCGTTCAGACTCCACTGCCCTCCACAATTTATCGGTGTTACGGATTAAGAATTTCACACGTTACAGTTTCCAAGAGAGAATTTAAGATATTCTTTAGAGGCTGCACTGGGAATGATTTTTCATGGGACCTCCCACATCAGCATTTCTCGGCAAAATCTCCCACTGTCGTCTCCCGACCTTGGAGTCCTCATTTTGCAGCTGACAACAAAATGCACAATTTTCTTTATCATTTAATTTCCAAAAATATATGCTCTGTCGAGCTGTCTTCAACACTGCTAGTGATAATACTCTTGTTTCGAGAGAGCGCCGTCTGTGCCCAGTGGCCCCAAATGCCGAAGGGGCCGAGAGAGCAAAGAACAGGGAGACAAGGCCAGTTTGTCGGTTGGTAAACTGAGAGGGAGACCGCACAGAAACGCAGCGTGGCCGGCGGCAACACCGTCCGGCCTCCGCCTTCCGCCCCAGACCGCGTGGTCTGCGAGCCCGGAGAGGGACCCGGGCGGCGGGCGCGGGTCTGCGTCACGGCTTCCAGGAGACAGGGGACGTCAAGGACGCCCGCTCCACGGAAGAACCAGTGGGGCCTGGGAGGCTGGCGCAGAGCCCCCGGGTGCGTTCCAGGACCCCCGACAGGAGCCACGGGCCC